AGGGTTCGTGCTAAGCGAGATAATATAGTTATGGTGGTGATGGTTGACAAAACCAAAATCGACCAAACTGGAAGCGCCAAGGCTGGCGTAGCTGAAGCTTGGCTACCTTTTTTCCTTCAACCTCTAACACTATTTGCTTTTTCCGCTTTCTACTTCACAATCGCTGTCGGTTTGATTGCCTTGGCTTTTTACTCGTAAACACGAAGGTTTCGTTGCAATGCACCCTATATTGGGTTATCTATGGATATATGCCCCTACCGCGGGTAAGTCAAATGTCACTGTTATATCTTTCAATCCGAGCTACGTCTAACTATAACCCAAGTTTTCTCCGTTTTCGCGGCTTTCTGGAATCAAGTTGACTACCGTACACGGTCAATGATGCCTTGGATCCTCATGTCGAAGCAACCGCAATGCGCAACCAAAAGCGTTCTTCTGGACTACATCTCACCCAATATACTGCTAGCATGTGTGCAGTCACTCATGGCAAAGGATTTCATTCTAACAGTCTCCCTGTCTGGCACAATTCTCAATAAGATTCTTATCGTCCTTTCAGCCGGTCTGGTCACTACAACCAACAATACCAGGGTCCAACTCCGCGGAGTTGTTGTTTGGATCACGATATCCATACTATTCTTCCTGGCTTTAACAAGCCTCCACCTGGCCTTCGAAATGAATAAACAGAGAGTGGTATCTAGGGATACCGGATCAGTCATTGGCCTTGCGACCATCCTTGCTCGCAGTGAAGCATTTGTTCACTCTCTCCAAGGATCTGGCCATTTTTCTTCTGAACATATCAAAACCCATCTCTCAAATTGTGTTTCAGACCAGTCTAGTCGCTTTTGAGAAAGGACTTAAAACTTCTCCAAAGTTTTTTATTCAATCACAAGGAAGCTCCTGCCAGCAACCAGAAACTCGCGAAGCTTCACGGAATGGTATCGAGTCTTGGTATAGACCTTTTATCGTGTCCACTACGGCCAGGTCAATTATCACTGTCGTCGGTATAGGCCTTTTCTGCATTTTGGAAGCCACCTTGCAATACTCAGTTCGAAATAATGGATTGAGTGTTTTCAAAGACAAGGAGTACATCGAATATACATGGAGGTATATTCCCGTGGTTACCTTTCTCCTTTTCGGGCTAGCCATTGTTGCCCTAGATTTCGAAGTAAAAACTTTTGAACCTTTCTACCGACTCCGCAACAGCAAGGCTTCCAACTCTAGTATACTCGACGAAAATTACCTCAGCTTTGTTAGCTTTCATTCTGTTTGCGTTGCCTTCTGGCGGAAACAATATTGTATTGCAGCTGCGTCACTAGCAGTTTTGTTTTCTCCATTCCTTACCATCTTTGCCGCTGCCCTTTTATCTCCTCATGATGCTCACCAAACATCGACCAAACCAAAAAGTCTATTCTAGATGGATCGAACCACAACTGATAATATTGTGGCTCCACGCAACTATACTAAAGAGATTGAAAATGGGCCGCTGGTAAACATTAGGGACATCAACGACGACATGAGCTGCTTTTCATGGACTCATAACAAGACTGTTTCCAAAGCTACTCCTAGCTGTACCAGAGGAAATTAAAAACCCTGTACGATCCATATCGTACCCAAAGAGCCGGCTCATCATCCCCGTTCAAGGTTTGCAAGCAACTGCAAACTGTACCCAGATCCCTCCGGTTAATATAAACTCTAAAATCGTCCCTGCCAAAGACTACACAGCGGCCCACATAAAAGTCAAATTTTCCTTGTCACAAGGTGGACTCTTAACTACGAACTCGATATCAGTCGAAATAACATTGGACAAAGGACCTTTTGCCCGTTATATTATCAGTCATAACCATGGTTCCGAAGCAGGAAACATTGTTATCGCTGGATACTTACACCCCGATGAAGCTATGGATCTAAGTGTTGTTCTTTGCAAACCGTACTTAGACCGAATCAATGCAGCTCTTGCCCTGACTTACCCGGATCGTCGAACAGACCATAACAAATATTCTGAACCGGAACTTAACCACGTTACCAGACAATTTGTGGGATCTTTGAACATGTCGGTCGACATTCATGAGCCATCATACACGGACAACCGCAAATTCGAGGATTATGGAATGATCGATGGATTTTTCGGCTCGATGGTTGATGACGGCATGAACTTCTCGGCAACCGTCCGCGACCTAACTCTTCTCGAAGACTCAGTCCAGAACTTATACACCAGTATTGCCGCCTAAGTACTCAGTAAGCACCGGGAGACAATAAGGAATGAAACCAATATGCCGGTCATTAATGGCACGCTTTACATGTACGACCAGATCCGCCTAAAGCAAAATCCCATCCCAACACGCGTTCTCGAGGCTCTATTGGCAGTAATGGTTTTTTGCGTCGCTGCAACCTTTCTGTTAGCCAACACGAAGAAAGTACTCCCGAAGAACCCGCGCAGCATTGCGGCAGTCGCAAGTCTACTAGCAGGATCGAATCTGTTGAGCGAGGAGATCATCCCACCTGGTTCAGAATGGTGCAGCGACGCAGAGCTACGGCGCCGGGGTCTGTTCGATGGGCTGTCCCTACGAATGGGCTGGTGGGAAGACGTAGACGGGGCCGGCGAAACAAGGTTCGGGATTGATTTTGTTCGGGAGCGAGAAGAGGGCGAGAATGAGACTGGATGATTTCACGACTTCTTGGTAGTTGGAGTTCGTACGGCCAAACTCCCTTTTGTTTTTGTTGCTTTTGGATATTTGAGAAGTTGCGGGTTTTCGTAATTATCCTTACGAACGCTTCAAGTTTTAACGTCCGTCACCGTGAAACGAGATTCACCGGGAAGCGAGATGGTGATACTTGTACAGAGAAGAAGAGACCTTTACACCTATGCCCAGAACTCGGGATATAAGCTAGGCAAGGAATAATCTGTAGGGACTGCTTGTATTGTCCCCTATCACGCTAGACGGTAGATCTCGGATCTCGGTGACAGACGTTATATCTACAGAAGAATGGCTATGTTTTTCATTAAACTATCTTATGCACTGATGTTACCTACGCTGGTTTCTACTGCAGCTACTAACATTTTTTTACCGTCAAGAGGGACTCGTCGTCCAGCGAGGTAGGGAAAGACTATGTAGTGGCGGACGTTGGCATGAATACTTCGAATTCTCAACCTCCGTCTCGTTCATCCCTGTCAGCCAGGATCACTCCGATAACTCTCGTTTTTTCAGCCTCATTATCTAGT